ATATATATATATTATTATTAAGTCTAAGCAATGTTATTTTTTCTATAAGCCCCCTTTTTTTTAAACCATATTTATGATGTCAAAACAAACTGCAATAGTTTTGTACGGTATTCAGCACTTTGGACTGGACAGCTCCCATAACGACGTTACTTTGTACAGTTTTAGGTGCTATACTTTATAAATGCTGGTTTGGTAGGTATTGTTGAATAAATATGAAATTAAATAAACATACTACTAATAGTAATAACAAAAATGTATTTAAAAACAGTATAAAAAATGTTATTTAAAAAATACTTTTCGTGGGAAACAGTATTTCTTCTTCATAAAAATTGAGAACTAAACTGTTAATGTCACATTTTTAAATAACACATTAAAAATATGTTCTAATAATTCCCTTACAGAAAAACTACATGAATTTTACATGTGCAATCACATGTTAAAATTACATGTGAAACACATGTGAAACGTGCTTTGCACATGGGAAACGTAGTTTTGTAACATTTTCATATTTCACATGCGATTTTAACGTAAATGCACATGTGCAATTCATGTGTTTTTTCTGTAATGGTTCTTTCCCTCTGAATTCAAAGAACAACTAAATACACTTGCTCATATACCTTTAATGCTCAAATGCTAATACCGTGTTACTTTAACATGCATAATCATTTTCCAGTCTAAGCAGATAAGAAATCAGTCTGAGGCTAACTGCATTTTTTTTTAGATCACAGCTGTCCACTAGATGCCGTAATGCATACAACAGAGAGCTGGTTACCCCTTTAAGAAACAGCAAAGCATCTATTGGATGAGTGAGCATTGAGCTCTGTACCAATCGTTCTTCAGACCGTACAAAGGGATCTACTCCCTCCCTCAGCCAGAGGAGGAGTACAATGATGAGAGCTGTAGAGCGAAAGAAAACATGAACGCTTTATGAGGCTGCTCACCACAACGAAAATGGGCTGAGTACACGTTTATTTGAAAATGGAAAATAACATTCGGTTTTTATAAGGATGTAAGATGAAGATTTGTAGATGGGACTAGCAAACGCGACAGAGAAATGAGGAGGAACGGAGGGTGGAAATGGGCAGCGCTTTGGCTGTTCGCTTTCTCTCTATTGTGGAATACAGTTGGAGCTCAGATTCGCTACACGATACCCGAAGAGTTAAAGGAAGGATCTATCGTTGGGAACATCGCGAAGGATCTTGGTTTTGACGTCTCAGATATTGCCGAGCGTAAGTTACGAATAGCATCTGAGTCGAATAGGCAATATTTTAGTGTGGATTCAGGGAAGGGTGATCTGTTAGTTAATGGCAGAATAGACAGAGAGACACTCTGTGGACAAAGCGCCAGTTGTCTAATGCCACTGCAGATCGTTATTGAGAATCCATTACAGATGCATAAAGTTGAAATAGAAATACAAGATATAAATGATAATGCACCTAACTTCCATACTAAAGATGCCACATTAAAAATACATGAAGTGATTACTCCAGGCGCACGATTTACCCTTGAGAGTGCCGAGGACCTCGATGTTGGCAGCAATAGCATAAAGACGTACTCACTTAGCAGTAACAATTTCTTCCGAATTAATGTTAAAATTTTAAAAGATGGAAGAATGGTACCTGAACTTGTGGTTGAAAAACCTTTAGACAGAGAGAAACAGTCTATACACAAGCTAATATTAACTGCCTTAGATGGTGGCAATCCAGTAAAATCTGGCACATCTTTATTGCTAATAATCGTTCAAGATATAAATGACAACGAACCAAAATTTGAAATTGCTGTATACAAAGCATCGGTACTAGAAAGAGCCATCTTTGGCTCAAGTGTGCTCAAAATAAAAGCCACTGATTTGGATGAAGGACCTAATGGTGAAATAGAGTATTCATTCGGTGCGCATACGCAAGATCTTGTAAGAAATGTTTTTAGTGTGAACGCTGAAACCGGCGAAATCACAGTTATTGGAAAACTAGATTACGAGACTAAAAACACGTATATGTTTGATGTTTGTGCTAAAGACAAAGGGAATCCAGAGCTCGAAGGGCAGTCATCGGTTCAGATAGATATCATAGATGAGAATGA